GTTTGTACAGCTGTTGACAGATGGATTAATAAAAGTGCTCAATACACCCATGGTATTTAGCACCATTATTAATCAAGGTGTCATCAGAGGCCATGGAAGCACCTCAAAAGTGGGGGTGGGCAATTGAATCCACAAACATTTTAAATATGTTAGATGTGTCCTTAGAAGGTCTAGAGGTTTGGATGTTATATGTATTCTTTAATAGCTCTATATTCTCAAAAAATCTAAGTTTTCGAACGTTTTTGATAAGAAAGTCTTTAGCAAATAGCAATCAAACTTAAGTCCAGTTCATCAGTTCTGCCCTTGTTTACCAGCATGACAATAAGACAAGGCATTTGTAGACTTCTTAGCTTACTGTTGATGCAATGGAAGTGTTGATAAAATATTGCATGAATTCATTTCCTCAAGTTGATCATTTTCATACAAATTCAAATTTCTTTTTACTTCTATTTTCTATCAAATGAATTGATCAACTTGAGGAAAGAAATTGGCACAATATTTTATCAACACTTCCATTGTGTCGACAGTAGGGGCATTTATAATTCTACCTTAATTGCTGGAAAAAGAGCACTTTTATTCCACAAAAAAGGGTACATTTTCTCCTTGCATAAAAAGTGTGTGGGGGGCACCTGCCCCAAAGTCCCCTGCTTCCGAGACCTCTGGGTGTCATCACATAGCATAAGATTACATAGATAATATGGTGAGATCAAAACAGTTCATAAATTTTAATGTTCACTTTACCACATAACTGTAATATACAAAATATTAAATATATGTTTCCTATGTAAGACTACATGACATTGTCAGGTAATGTTTATCATTGATGATTGTATTTCTTCATGTGCCTTCTGAGGTTTGTTTTGATCGTAAAAAGTTGGTTACATTTGTTACATTGGAATGACTTCACTGAGCTATGTGTTGCTTTGTGTCTGTCCAAGGCTTGTTTTGTACCAAAACATTTACTACAACTTTAGCATTTATGTACTTCTTTATGAATATTTTCATGTTGCTTTAACTTAAGTTTGGTACTGAATACTGCACCACACGACAGACATTTTGATTCGCCACAATTCCTTTGATGGTGTACCTTTTGTCTGCAAGCTGACTGAAAACTTTGTGGCACTTGTCACATTTTGATGTACTTGTGGTCAATAAACCACAGTCAGCATCTTCACGTTGCCTCTGTGCTAATTCATTCCAGTCCTTCAAATTTAAAAAATGCAAATTAATCATTAATTGTTTACCATTAATGTATAAAAAACATCTGAAGATAACCATAAAATATATGACAGTGATAACCAGAAGACCTTTTGCAGCTTAAATTACTGTGATTTCCAGTTGAGCATGGAATCACAAAAGTTTGTTTGTTAAGTTTTGTCGTTTGAAAACAATGTTTGTGACGTTATTCTATAATGTTGCTAGGCGAGCTGACAATGTTGTCAAGTAAAATACTGTCAAGTTCACGACTATAAATAGAAATATGAATTTTTTTTTCTGTGTTGGTGTTGTGTACTCAGGTGAATATGTTTGCGATGTTACTCTGAGTGCATATCCCCACCGGGCGAGCTTGAAAAACATGCCCGGCCACGGTGGGATTCGAACCTACGACCTTTGGAATACTAGCTCAATGCTCTTCCAACTGAGCTACGCGGTCAGGACGGTTCGAGTAAGTGATATTTCGGAACAATATCTAGTTCGTTCAATACCAATGTGTTCTAGTAATATGAATTTATTTTTTTTTTGTGGATATGCACTCAGAGTAACATCGCAAACATATTATTCACCTGAGTACACAACACCAACACAGAAAAAAAAAATCATATTACTAGAACACATTGGTATTGTATATAT